GTTTTGGAAAGCCTGCATGGACACCAACCAGTCAGTCAGCGCACTGTGGAGGTGCAGGCCATGCGGAGCAAGCTACGATGTGCAAGCCGTGTCGTGCCAGCCATGTTGCGCAAACTATGCGGGGTGAGCTATGTGGTGTAAACCCTGTTGTGTAAGCGACATCGTGTGATCCATGGTGTTTGAGATATGCGGCTTGAGCGATGCGGTGGAAGATCGCGGGCGAAGCCTGGACGGATCCCACCCGGGGCACGAGGGGCCCCGTGGGCGAAACCTCGACCGACCCACCCGGGGCACAGGGCGCCCACAGGCGGCAGCGTGAGCGACATCTCGGCGGGCCCAGCCGGGGCGCGAGGCCCACACGCGGCGCCCACGGGCGGGAGCGCGGGGGGAAGCCTCGGCAGGCCAGCCCGGCTGGGCAGGATCCGGAAGAGTCTGGGAGTGCGGGCACCTCTCTCTTGGGAAAGGGCCCCCCTCCCCTGCAGAGCTCCTGCGTGTCTGCTGCGCGGCCATCCGGCGGGAGAAGGATCCCCGCCCACCAAACCACCCCAGCCCAACCCGAGTGCCCCGATTTGCCCTCCATTTCCAGTGGGGCGGGGGTGGGCGGTCGGGGAACATGACAACAAAAACATATGAAGCCCGTAATTAGCCCCCCCCAGCCCGAAATTCGGGTCTTCGGGGTGGGTTCGGGTGGTCTGGTAGGAAGTCCAGGAAGGGCACCGGCCGCCCGGGCCTCCACAGATCAGTTCTGGCCCAGATTCTGATGCGTATGGTCTTCCAGCCTGGCCGTGGACGTCTGCACCCAGGAAGGAGCAGGAACAGGCCGACCCCCCGCAACTGGCGCTTCTAAGACAGTCATGGGCGTTTCCCATACACCCCTGCCCTGCTCGATTTCTTCTCTGCGTTCGGTGCAAGGCTTTCGCTTGTCGGGCTGCTTCTCATGCGGTTGGTGCTTCTGCCGTCTACTGTATGTATACACCAAGGCCTGGGCCCCAGATAATTCTGTGGAGGCTTGGTGTTGGTTTGCAGCATCGCTCGTCCCCAGTGTTCCGAACGAGCAGTTTTGAATTGCCCTCGCACCAAAAACACGAAAGAAGGCAGGCAGAACGCCGGCTGCCAGATCTCTCGCCCCTCCCCCCCCCCCGGGAGTCGCTCTCTCGTCCCGGGCTGTTTTGGGGCGGCCAAGAAGCGGCGCTTGGACGCCGAGGGTTGGGTGTTTTTTTTGTCCGGCGCGATGCCGTCGTGCCACCAGAGGTCGTGAGGCTGGAAGGCCGCCCCCTCTGTCCCAGCACGCTGCGCGCGCCCCAGGATGATGACAGCTGTGCGAAAGACCGCGCGCTCGTCCGAAAGACAGCGCGTCTTTGGCCCGCGCTGCGAAGCAGCCGAGCGGCCGAGCTCCCGAGGAGGCCCCGCCACTCCCGCGGGCAAGAATCACACCAATCATCCATGTTCACAGCCTCGGGGCCCGAACTCTGCCGCGACCCCAGTGATACAGGGCGGCTTCGGGCGGACGCCCCGCGCGGAACGTATTCATCGGATCATACATGCATGGGATCGCGCCTCGGTCTCCGGCGCGCGAGGGCATGGATCTATCTCCAGTATCCGTGATGCCGGGGAGGACGGGGTGGACTTCCAGGATACCATGGCATGTTGTTTTTCGTTGTTTGTTTTGGATCTGCTTAGAAGCCTCTCCTCGTCCTCCTACTCCTCTTGCTCTTCCTCCTCCTCCTTTTCGTCCTCCTCCTCCTCTTCCTCTTCGTCGTCCTCGTCCTCCTCCTCTTTCTCCGCCCCGAGGTCGCGCCCCGAGAGAAGGCAGCGGCTCGGCTTGGGGGGACGACCACGGCCCAGATTCCTCCAGGCGTCGCGAAGGCAGCGGCACATATGCGTTGTGGCGAGCCTGGGCGCGGAGGCGCCCGGCCCGGGCCCGGGGCCCTCCAAGAACGACCCGCGGAGAGATGCTGGTCCCCGATGTCTTCGACGAGCGCGTTCCACTACTCGCAAAGTGACGAGTCGCAAATGGCCTGGATCCGCCGGGGGGGGGTCTACGAGGAACGACATCGAAGCAGACATGTGTTCTCCGGACGCTTGCGAGTATAGGCATCTTGCGAGTAGTGGAAAGCGGTCGGGGAGAGGTGGGGTCGACAATTCCATTCGGGCGATTGCAAACATGGCTCAAGGGGGCGTGGATTAGCGACGGGTCCCATTCCCATAGGAATTCGCGGACTTCCGCCGCCCAGCGAGGCGGCACTGGCCGCATTCATTTTGGGGAGGGCACCTCCCCTGATCCGTGGATTTGGCGACCGGGATCGCTAATCCATGCTTGCGCGCCACCGAATGGAGGCGGCTACGCCGCGGAGGAACTCGGCGCAGCATGAGGTGCCAGAAGACGGCAGAGCGCGCGCGAGCCGGACGGTGTTCGGGCGATTCTGTGGGCCGCTTTGAGTCTGACGTCGTGTGCTGCAGCAGAGGGCGGGGGGGGAGCGACAAGGAGAAGCACTGCCTCGCTCGAGCCCTGGAAGCCAATGGTCTGGACGCCCGAGATGGGCACGGAAAGAATGGGCACAATGCCCAGCAGCAGTTCCTGTCCACTTTGAACAGGACTCGCCGTCCGCGCCGCCGCGGCCTGTGTCCATTCGACACAGAACGCCGCTTGCCCAACAGCGGCCGCTGTTGGTTTGGGACAACGTTTGCTGTTGGGCATTGTACATTTTTTTTCCGTACAGTCGAGGCCCTGAAGAAGGAACCCTTTTCGTTGGGGAGGGGTTCCGCGTTCCTTAAGTGTTTCGCTGCTTGCCTCAGGCTTTCCTCATGTTTCCAACAGGAAACCGAAGGTCAACTTATGGAAAAAAAGGGGCCTCGTTCCTTACTTAGGGTTCCTTAGGTCAACGCCCCGACTGTACGCAGTTCGGGCGTCCAAAGGGAAGCCAGCGTCCCAGACTTCTGGCGGCAGGTGCTCTTCAGTCTGGTCGCAGGTACTTCCTCGCCCTCGGGCTCCGGGGGGCCCGTGGTCGGGCCCCGGGTTACCCCACAACGGATCCGGGACGAAGGCTACTCCTCGGGTTCTGATGCTCCAGCCTACTACTTTAGACTTGATCGCCAGGATGGATTTCGAGCACCGAGAGAACACTCCAAAAATCAAGGGTTTTCACGTGCCGGGCCCTGGGAGACACTCTTTCGACACTCTTTCGATACTTTTCTGGGTGCTCGAAATTATTTCTGGGATGCGGTCCTTAAGTAGGATGGGAACAACATAGCCCTCGGGACCAAGGGCGTCGTCAGGCAGGCCTCGACTCGAGATAGACCGGCCCAGAGCGTTCCAGAGCGCTCTCAGAGCGTTCCAGAACGCTCCGAAACGGCCGCGGTGCCCGAGGCATCCTCCAGACTCACCGATCCGATGCTGCCTGGATGCTGCCTTCGTCTCATGCCGGGACTTTTGGGGCCGCGGATGGGAGAGAGCATATCGGAAGATGTTTTGGTCAGCAGGCCCACGAGGACAAACGAAAGCCCCGAATTCAAGCAGCGGCGAAGCGTCCTGACTTGCCAATGTGCCCACCGAATCGTAAATTCTCGTCGTTTGCACGACATGTTCTCTCCGAACACTCCTGTCTGAGACAGTCCTGCTTTGATCAATCGGCTTGATGGTCCTAGAGCACTGTAGCCGTTCTCAGAACACACATTTTGGTTCTGAGAACCTGTCGTGGTAGGCCTACAGGAATGCTGGGACGTTCGGTCCCTGCTCGAGGAATGGCCAAGAGTTCGGATGCCCGAATCATGAGGGCTGGGGGCGGTCAGGGGTAAGGACATATTCGCGTCTTGGGGGTCCCAATTGGGGTTCTACCCCCGACCGCAGTTTGCCCGGAGAACTCGGGCGTCCAAAGATTCGGCCGGCGTTGGCCGTCGGTTCGTCTTTGGAGCGCCCGTGTGGCTGATCCCGTGGCCCGCTCCTGCCCAGGGCCCAGCGGAGGGGCGAGGGCCTCCTCGGTCGAAGAGTTCATTGCCGTGCTCCTTGCTCTCCCGTGGTGCTGGCGGCATTCCGAAGGAGGACCTCGGCGAGGAATACCACAGGAGGGAGGACCACGACGACGACGACGACGACGACGACGACCACCCATCCACGCGAGACTTTCCAGAAGGGACCTCGGTTTCGAGGAATGGAGAGGTGCGCATCTGGCACCTCCTCCTCGGCGGAAAAGTGTCGGAGGTAAAACCGGGGGCGGCTCCGCTGGCAGAAGGTGGCGGAATCCAGAGGCGCCCCCAGGAGTTTTTTGGGGGTTCAGAGTTTCCGGAACTGGCCACGTGTCGGAGGAAATGCAAGCGACACCACCATCAGTGGGGGGCGGCAAAGAGGGGGGTGATGACTAGGTGGGGGTGGATATCATGGCGGGGGCCATGATATTCCCCCAGATTTCATGGCGCCTCGTCTTTTTCACTACGTCCCTGGCCCCCCGCTGGGCCGCGCACATGCCGCCGGTCATGATTTGCACCCCCTCCTTTTGGACAACCCCCTCTTGGCCGCTCCCGAACCAGGGGTGCCTCCTCCAGGGAGGTGGTCGGCGGTGCTTCCCCGAGCTGGAGACGGGGGACGTCTCGAGCGGGGAGGGGGGGATCACACCACCAGGAGGACCCTCTCTGACTCCTCCCGCTGGTGGTGGTGTCGCTCTTCATTGTTCCAAGCATCTGGGCGCCTAGTGGGCCCTGGAAACGGCAGGGCCGTTTTTCACCGTTTCCGAAAAGTGTTCCTTGAACCTGGAAACGGCAACAAAAACGGCGACCGGAAACGGCAACAAAAACGGCTCCAGGATTGGAACCGGAGCGGGAACCCGTAAAAAAACGGCGACGGAACCGGTAAAAAACGGCGTCGGAACCGGCAAACAAAACGGCAAAACGGAACCGGTAAAAAACGGCTTTGTCGTTTCCAGGGCCCTTATAGTGTGGGCGTAGCTTAGGTACAGAGCATGGCTGGCGTTTTTTGCCCAACTTCAGGCCCTGCGAATTTCGCGAAGATGGAGTTCATGAATTGGGTGACCCCTGGAAGGATTGTGTCCCCCATTGCGTACCTATGAAACGAAGTATGCAGAAGGGTTCTCCGACGGTTGCCCCAGCCAAGTCCACTCCGGCTTGCCGCCAGCCTTGATTGTTGTTTTTATTTTCACGACGCTCCTGCCTGGTGCGGGCGCCCCTTTGATGAGAAAGGCGCCCGCGCGAGAGTCTGCGAGCGACGTTCAGGGATGTAACGTTTAGCCTGGCCAGTCTCACTTGATCACACGCGAGGCGTCTATTGACGTGTCGTGCACGACGTGTTTAGTTCGTGGCCTGTGCTCATGCCGCAGCTGTCTCACCGGAGCCGCCCTGCCAGTCGGGCAGGGAACGGCCGCCGCCGCCGCGCCGCGCCCCGGGACACCGCTCCGAGGAGGCGCTCGTCGCCCACCGAGCGGGCCCGCGCGCGCGCACGGTGCGCGGGGCGAGGGGATCCCAGCAAGGGTTCGGCGACCCTCAGAGCGTGTGTTGGCCCAGTGTGTGTTCGCCCCGCTCAGCTCCGCCGACAGCTCGTTGCGCCTCCTGCGCCGTGCAGGGCCTCGGTGGACGAGCACACGCTGGCGTTCACCCACGCTCTGAGGTTCATCGAAGAGTGTTGGCGGCTCGGTCGGTCCGGGTGCGTCGCAGTCGGTTGCGCTCGGTGGCCTGCGTCTGTCCGGTCGGGGATCGTGTCGTCGCCGCGTCGTGTTGCGCCCTTCCAGGCCGCACGCGGCCCGCCGACGGTTCGGTCGGCTTCGGTTTCGCCCTCGGCGCGGTCCGTTTTCGGTTCTGCTGTCGCCGTGAGCGGTCTTGGACTCTCAGAGCTCCGGCGCCCCCGGAGCAACAAAAAAAATCGGGCGCGGGTGTGGTTCCCATGGCTCGGCGGGCCGTCTTGGGGCCTGCTCTCTTGGGCCCCCGGGCCGTCCCAGAACGAACTCGTGTGAGAAACCGATCTTCGAGCAAGGAGCCGCAGGGATAACCATACATGTTCGGAGCTCCGCGCGGATTCTTGGATCGGCGCTGACCCCTCCTCCCCTTGAGCGTCGCCGCTGGCGCGCTCCGCGGGCCAGGTAGGGAGGGGGGCAGCGCCGACCCAAGAAATCCGCGCGGACCTCCAGACGTTTGCGCTTGTACAGTTTTTGATATGTAAAGATCGGGGGCACAGGGGGCGGTAGGCAAAGGGGGGGTACATCGACCTCGAGTGGGTTGGCTGATACATCGACGCTACATCGCTGATATCAGGGCGATGTATCGACGATGTCTGGATAGCACGTTCTGCATCGACGATGCATCGACGATACGTGGGCGATATGTCGGCTATTCGAGGTGGATGTATCCCCCATGTGCCTATTCCCTTATTGTTGTCCCCGATCTACACGAACTAAAACTGCACAAACGTAAACTTGTCGGAGATCCACGCGGATTGCTTGGATCGGGGCGAGGCCCCGCTCCTTGGTCTGCGGAGCGCGCCAGGGGCGACGCCGCCGATCCAAGAATTCCGCGCGGACCTCCGAATGTGTATGTTTATGCTTGTTGCTGCTTCTCGAGGATCGGTTTCTCATCCCAGATCGCTGCCCGTCAGCAGAATCGGCGGCGAGCGAGGGGGGGAAGCGTGAAGGAGGAGGCGCTCGCAGAAGGCGGCGGGACTTTTCAGAAGCCCTCCGGCCCTCTGCTGAGAGGCTGTCTGTGCTTCCGGAGAAGGCCTCGAAGACTTCCCCGCAGGCTGGGGGACGTTTGAGCCTGCTGAGCAGGCCCGCCCTTTCGCACTCCCCCCCTGGGCTCGCCGCCAAGTGCGGTCGGGCGTGGGCGCTTCGGCGAGAGCAGCATTGGGCCATCGTAGGCCGTTCTCGGCCTGGGGGGATTCTAGATTCGAGGTCTTCGCGCGTCGTCGTCGGCTCTCGGCGGCTTCGCGGCCTCGGGGTTCCTTCCAGCGGCTGCGCCTCGCGGAGGGCGGCTCGGGTTCACCCAAAAGGGGGTCAGCGTCAACGGGGTGGTGCAATAGATTGGTGGGGTTGCAACACAGTACGGGCGTGCAATACATTTCGGTGCGCAAATGTCTTGCTGTATTTTCGCGTGCACTGCAGTGCAATTCTCTGGCGCCATGCAGTTGCAATACAATTGCCCCAACTGCATTGCACCACCCCCTTTCAGGTGGACCCCCTTTGGGTCACCCAAAGCGGCGCCTCGCGGAGGGGTACCCGGATGGTCCCGAACGGCCGCTGACAGATCCTTGGTGAGAGTTACGATGTTCTTTACCTGATTTAGCTTTGATCACCAGAAACAGTTCCGAGTACCAAGAAAGTAACGAAGCCGAAGGGATCTCACGTGTCGGGCCCCGGGAGGCGATACTCGTTCAACACTGTGCTCCGATCTTTTCCTGGGTGCTCGACATGGTTTTCGGGGTGTGGTCCTGAAGCACGGTCGGGGCAACATCAGGTGAGACGAGGCGCCGGGAGGCCCGGGCAACCCCGCACCGAGAGGGAAGCACGGCGTCGAGGGCCAAGGCGGGGGAGGTGAGGATGCGGCGGCGCTCGCACGCACCGCCTCCCCTCCGGAGGCTCCGCGCCTCCCACCATTCCGCCTCCCTGCGCCCCCCTCGTCAGCTGCCGGCTCCGAGGCCAGCGTTTGGTCATGGAGCCGGACCGAGGTATAAGATCGAGGCGGGTTCGGGGAGGGTGCCCTGCTGTTTTTCGTGTTTGTTGGATGCTCCTGTGCATCCTGGAGAGGGTGCCCTTTTGATGTTCTGTGTGTTTTTGCCGGCGGATGAAGGATGTTTTCTGTCGTAGGTCCGATTGTAAATATACTCTCGAGCTGGTGGCGACGGGAGCTGCAAACGGGGGTCGGCCAGAGCAATGGATCCGCCAGGATCCTGCAGAGCCAGGGTTGCAGTGACCCAGGTTAGCGCGGCAGGATCCTGCAAGATCCAACACAGCTTCATTGAAGGAAAAAACAACTTCCCGGAATGAGGCGCGGCACGCGAAACAGTCAACGGGCTTCTTCCCGGAAGGACGAAGATATTTTCCTGGAGGTCGATTTTAGCAGCCACAGATTTAGCAGCCCCTGCCCGGCTTCCGGATCTGCTGCGCCAGGTGCAGTTGACGCTAAGGACGCCACGTTTTAGCCCTCGCTGCAGTGGCGTCCGTCACTCGGCCGCTGGTGGAATAGCCACATGTGTGTATATATATATATATATTATATATGTATATACACATCTGCATGTTTGTGCGTGCGTAAGGCCCCGTCTTCCACACCGCGTCATCATGACCTCTATGACCATCATCTCCATCGCAAGCAATATCATCATCACCATCATCATGTCTTCGCCAGCATCACCATCGTCATCAGCATAACCACTCAACCTTATCATCAGCACCATCATCATTACCATCATGATCATCTTCATCACCATCATTATCGTCTTCATCACCATCAGCATCACCATCGTCATCATAATCATCGTCATCATCATCATCATCATCGTCGCCATCGTCATCGTCATCGTCATCGTCATCATCATGCCCATCCACGGGGCCAGAGCCCGGCCTCGACGCTAAGGACGTCGACGGCGCTGCGGAGAGCGGCTTCGCCTATGGCCCATGGGCGGGGCCAAACCTGTCGAACGGCAGCAGCGCGAGCTTCGTGGGCTCCGTCTGCACGGACAGCTCGGGCCCAGGCACCGCCCGAGGAGCTGCGAGCGCGGCTGGGGCGGCCGCGGCCGCAGCGGCGCTGGCGGCCGCCGTGGCGGCGGCGCGGGCAGCGGCCGAGGCTGCAGACGGCGAAGTCCTACAGAGTCGACGCAGCCGAGGCCGACGGGAGCCGCACCGGAGGCTGCCGCAGCTGCAGCGCCCGCAGCGCCAGCGCAGCCGCGGCCACGATGACTGGAACGCCAGCATGGCGCAGAGCCATCGGCTGTGGAGCATCGGCAGCGGCACCGCGCTCTCGTCTACTCCGCGGGTGCGCGGGCGCCGCGCGGACGGCTCGCGCATGGTGGGCCTCCGCGAGGAGTGCAGCGGCGGCGCGTCTGGCCGCCAGGCCGGCGCTGCGACGCCTGCGGCGCCAGGGGATGCGCCCCACGCGCGGCGGCGCGGCCAAGGGAGGCGGAGCGCGGCCCGAGTCGCTCTGTGATGACGGCGGGGGGCGGCTGAGGAGTGGGTCGCCGAAGCGCCAGCTTGGGCCCACGCGGGCCCCCAGGGGCGATGCCGTGGGCCCTTGGGAGCCTTGGGTCCCCGTCCCGAGTCGTGCGTTGCATTGAGGAAAGTCAGCACCCCATGATGATGATGATGATGATGATGATGATGATGATGATGATGATGATGATGATGATGATGATGATGATGATGATGATGATGATGATGATGATGATGATGATGGTGGTGGTGGTGGTGGTGGTGGTGATGATGATGATGATAATCATCATCATCATCATCACCATCGTCACCATCGTCATTCTCATCCTCATCACCACCATCAGCATCATCATCATCATCTGTCTCAGAAGTATCATCATCACCATCACCGTCGTCTTCTTCGCCGTCCTTATTCACCGCAATCAGTCACTACCATCATCTTGGTCATCTTCTTCATATCCTTCATCCTCTTCACCCCCCTCGTCCTTTTCATCCTCCTCCTCCACCTCTTCGTAGCTGTCGTCGTCGTCAGCATCATCATTATAAGCATGGTCATCATCATCGTCAGCATCACCATCATCATCATCATGCTGATCTTCACCATCATCAGCATGCTGATCATCATAACCACCATCATCACCATCACCATCATCATCATTTCACCAACAGCATCATCATCATCGTCATCGCCATCATACCTATCATCTGTTTCATCATCGTCATCATCATCATCAACGTCATCATCATCATCATCATCATCATCATCATCATCATCATCATCATCATCATCATCATCATCATCCGCCTGCCCCTCTCCACCGTCTCCTGTTCATCCTCCTCCCCTCCTCCTCCTCCTCCTCCTCCTCCTCCTCCACCGTCTCCTGTTTCTCTTTCTCCTCCTCCTGCTCTCCTTCTCCTCCTGCCCCTCCTCCTCCTCCTCCTCGTCGTCCTCCTCCTCCTCTTCCTCCGCTCCCTTCTCTTCCTCGCTTCCTCCTCCACCCTCTCTTTCCCCCCCCCGCCCTCCTCTCCTGGGTGGGCGGGGGAGCAAACCCCCAGCCAGCGAGGTGGGCGTCAACTGCGACGTGTTCCGGCCAGGCAGGCAGGCGCCCGACGAGGGGCGCTTCCGCATCTCCGTGGAGTGCGCAGCTTCGGTCGCCTTCGTCGCAGTTGCCGCCGTCGCCGCCGCCGCAGTCGCGGTCGACGCCGCCGCCGCCCTCGCCGCCGTCGCCCTCCACGGTGCACAACCGGTTTCCATGGTATCATGATCGAGTTGGATATGCGGCGCTCGTGCTATCCATCCCTGGAGGCCCCCGGGGTTCCAGCTGCCCGAGACTTGCCACAAACGTCCGACACGCCCACTCCTTATTTGATCGTTTGGGGACCCTCCTGCAGGCCACCCAACAGGTCGGTTCGACTCTAGGGCGACGTTGGTTCTACACGTGTTCTGTTCTATTTCGACTCTAGTTCGACAGGTTCGACTCAAGGTCAGCTCAAGTCGACGGGCGTTCGACTCGAGCATCCACACTGAGTGAAGCGAGTGGCCCCAGGAAGGTCCCCAGAACGAGCATCTGACCCTCCCCCCTTCTCATCGGGCGAAACCGGCCCAATCAGGCATATTCCGTTGACGTCTGATTAATCTCGTTCTCTCCAGCTTAATCCTGGGCTTGACCAGCTTAATCCAGCTACATGCCCCCGTTCATGGGGATTCGAAAGTAGCCGGTTATCATCTTTTCCACTGGGCGAAAAACATAAACGCATCCGCAGTTTCGGCCCTTGAGCCGCGACCCCACGGATGCGGCCCGTGTTGTGCGTGGACACACTGCGCGGGACGTTTTCTTGCGATCGCGTATTCGCATGCTTGCGCCCAGGAGACCAGCCAGCGAGGGCACGAGCTCAGCATTGTTTACACGATCTCTATCCCCATCCCCATCCCTATCCAGACCCCCACCACCTCTGCATTCCAGGTGGGCATGCACCCCTCGAACTCCGAAGGGAACGGCCCATATCCCCATCTAGCGGGGGCGAATCGGCCCGTGGAGCCCAGGCCACGCCCACGGGGATAGGGGTCGGCGCAACGACCATCATTCCTGCTTTTCCCAGCCCTTGGCGGCGAGCCTGGGGGGGGAAGTGAGAAGGATAAGGCCTTCTCAGAGGGGTCGGAAGTCCCCTGGCCCTCTGAGATGTTTTCGAAGTGGGGCCGCAATAAATTGGGGGAGCGATGAACGGGGGGGGGCAGCGAGAGCTACATAATGGGGGCCTTCAAAAGCCCCACGAGGAGCCCTTTCGTGACCCCAAGGGGGCCTTTCGTGATTGATATGTTTGTCCTAGCAGCGCTCGAGCAGAAGGCTACGGAAGACTCTCGCTCACAACTCCGAGAAACATGCTATCCCACTTCGTGGGACTGTTACTTCTGTGCTGTACTGCTTCTGGGGGAACGCTAACTCTACAGTACTAACCCCATCATTTATCCCGCATCGTGGGATTGTGCATTCTCCATGAGATGGGACAACGCGTCTCGATAGGAACTGGTTTTCTCTACCCTTTACACGTTATCTACCGTGCCTGTACTGCCATTCTACACGAGTCCTACAGATCACCTGAAGTAATGGATTGTGGGAAGAAGCTCTGACACCTCGCCTTCGCGGCCAATAGAGTCGCAATTTTCATTACTTCGGAGGTTTCACCGCTGTCGGTGAACATGGACTGATTGAATGAAATATGATATGCAGAAGTCATTCTGCCGTTCTAAGATACAGCAAGCAATTCCCTTCAGTCATCGTGGTGACAAAACTCGCAAATGCGGAGATGCCTCAGCGTGTTGATACTCTTGATCGAGTGGCATGTGCCTCTCGTGTGATACACTTTGCTGTATTCAGACGTGCTGTAGACGCACTGCTTGCGGTCCTCCGTATCGAACTGCTTGGCTGCCCTCTTCGGCCTCTGGTAGACCGAGGTTGGAGGGTCGAAGTAATGCTGCCTGTCCAGCGTAGCACCTGTAGCGGAGTGTGGTGACGGACCTTGGGTTGAGCTCAAATGGCCCACCGTCTGCGGCTTCCTGCATCCACGAATGCCTTCCAGGCACCTCAATATCAACAGCCCCATGCACGCGCCTGCCAAGAACGTGATGATGATAAATGCGTAGAAGCTGTCTAAGTTGGTCGTAGTGATTGGGCTCATTGATGTTGGGTCGGCGCCCTTAGCGCCTGCCGCGTGTGAAACAAGCAAGATACAGGGGATGAAACGCTTGCTTCGGATATTGAACACGTCAGTGCTCTGGTCATAGAGATGTAATTGATATCCCTTCCGACCATGTCAACCTCGTTCTCGCCCTCGGCGTCGTTGTCCTCTATGTCCAGGAGCTCGCCATTCACGAACCGGCGCATGCCCAGATTTTGAAGGTGGCGCCTTAAGGGTCCTCGCGTCCAGCAGTTTCGTGCCGATGTCTGCCCCGTTCTCGGCGTCTGGTATCCTCTGGATTTGGACTGCACGTGAGGCTGCCAGCTGTTGAAGCCAGAGAGCACGAACGTCCAAGTGTCGCACTCTTCCAAGTCCACGGCTTAGTGCGATGGACTTTCCAGAGCTGCTGTCGGCCTCGATGACCTTTTCGACGGGGAACCCGAGGTCCTCGAAGACGGATGAGATAGACAACATGTTTCCTGCCAGAGAGCATGATGCGCAAAACTCTGCTCTCGGTGATGACACTGCTGCGACCTCCTGTGTACGGGAGAAATGAGAGATGAGGCAACCTTCCCATGATACCGTGCCCACACTGGAGCTCTTTCTAGACTCAGGGTCGCCGGCCCAGTCCGAGTCGTTGGTGCCGACATGTCGTTTGAGGTCGTTCGTATCCGTGATGCTCAGCGTGATTACGTAGTCCGACGTGCCCTCGACGTACCGCAATATGCGCTTGAGCCGTGACATGTCCTCTGCTCGAGGTGCGTGAAGACGTCGTCCCCAAAGCTTCAACTCATAGCTGTAGTCGAACTTCTTGTCAACTCCATACTGTAATTTCTCCACGCCCTGTCGGAACTTGTGATGCTCCTCTCTATCCAGGGGCGTGACGTCCTGGCTGTCCAAGGCCTTCGTGCTGAATCGCTCCTTGGACCCTCGCGTGGTATCCTTGACGCAGTTCTCCATGCCGATGGCCTTCAGGGTGTTCTGGAAGTAATTATTCTTCGGTTCTCAACAACGGTATCTCCAAAGCGTAGATACGAGCATCCCAAGAAAACACATGAAATATCTTGTTCAAATCTGATGCCGACTCTGAAATTCTTTACGCTTCGCGTACCCCCACCAGCCCATCTCACAGCAGCACCTCTCGTGAAGCATGCCGACAGTGGTGTGTGTCAGGCGTGTGTCCGCTGGGCTCCGCATAGCTCCCCTGTTCCTCCTTCCTCCCGCCTCCGTGTAGTGGTAGTAGTAGTAGTAGCAGTAGCAGCGACACGACAAGTTTCAGTGGCAGTAGTATGTAGTAGTGTCGTAGGTAGAAGGAGTAGTGCTCGCAGTAGTAGTAGTAGTAGTAGTAGTAGTAGTAGTAGTAGTAGTAGTAGTAGTAGTAGTAGTAGTAGTAGTAGTAGTAGTAGTAGTAGTAGTAGTAGTAGTATAGTAAGTAGTAGTAGTAGTAGTAGTAGTAGTAGTAGTAGTAGTAGTAGCAGTAAGTAGCAGCAGCAGCAGCAGCAGCAGCAGCAGCAGCAGCAGTAGTAGTAGTAGTAGTAGTAGTAGTAGTAGTAGTAGTAGTCGTTGTAGTAAATGTAGACGCAGTAGTAGTAGTGCTATCGCCGACGAGGAACCCCAGCGAAGCATGCCGACAGCTGTTTGGTGCAAGCGTGTGTCTGTTTGCCTGTGCGTGTATTCTATGCTCCGAAGCAGGAGGAGTCGGAAGAGGAGGCGGGAGGGAAGGAGTTGGGAAGCAAGACAGAGGGCGGTCGTCGTCGAAACCAGCGATTTTTCCCGACCAGCGTTGTTGTCGTTGCCATTATGGCTTCTACTGTTGGAGTGTGGCTGTGAGCTTCGCGCCGCCTACCCGTAATAGTCTCCGCCTACTAGCATCATCTTTGCAGTTGGCATGGAGAAGCGCCTGTGTTTTTTTTTGTACTTTTGCTCGCCACGGGGGCTGCTTGGAGCGAGCGCGCAGAATGTTGGTTGCCGGCATTCTCGCTTCATGTTGAGCTTCGACAGTGCGGTCGGCGCGCGGCACTTCGGTTCCCATGGCTTGGAACGCGATGGCGAGGCTGACGCCGCGAGGGTAGAGAGCGCAGCTCCGCCCACTTCGACGACGTCGACGATGACGAGAGGACGACGACGGTGACGACGACGACGACCACGACCACCACGTCAATGGTGACTTGGCTTGCGAGCCGAACGCACGCGCCTACTGTGCTTTTGGCACGAGGTGGCTGGTGTGCGCAAGTACCGCACGTAGCCCAGCATCGCTACGGGCTCTTCACTTTGGCATATGATGTGAGTCATATCCTTCTCCATTCGCCCCGCGTTCGTGTCAGCAGGACGCCGTTGCGGTTAGCGCTCGGTGACATGCAGGCACGGCGGTCATCGCGAGATGTCTCAGAGACGCGCCACTCTCGTGACTTTCTCGGCACGATCCATCGTCATTGCGACATCAGACCATTGATTCCCCTCCACACCTAGACACCCATGTCTTCAAGACAGAAGCACTCATAAATCAAAGACGTTTCGACACACATCAAGAAAACACCGAAAGACATGCGCAGAAGTTGAATGTGTTATCCTCCTCTTCCCAAGAGAGTACGAGGGGTGCGCCATTCTTCCTGTGGGTGTTGAGTAGGCTCATGTCGAGGTCTGAGAGTCGAAGTTCCAGGTGTGTCTGCCGCGCTCGCGTGCAGTTGACGCGTGGAGCGCGACGCAACGCGTGGGCTGAAGTGTATCGCCTTGTCTTATGGACAAACGGGAAACAGTAGATTAGGTAGAACGCTCTTCGAAGTCTGGCAGGAGTACAATGTGCTGAGAGGTCTTGCAGGTATTGAAGAGCTCGAGGCTCTCAACATGAGTGTCGGCGTATCCCGTCACAGTCCATGTAGTGGCTCGAGGCGCATCGTGCCTCAGGGTATCCAGGGGCCTGGGGTCTAGCTTGCCCTCGTGGTGCAGGTTTCCCCGATTGTCAGGATATAGTACT